TTTCCTTTCAGTTACAACAGTTCAGCAAACACATTTCAAAATAAATAGTACATTATTTATTTTGATATATGCTATCCTGGGCAGCTGAAATATTTTGCTTGAGTAACAAACTAACACTGTTGCCACAACTCCTTTATCCTGAGATTTGAGTGACTCCTTTATATGTGAGAAGCATAAGTAACCCCTTTGTTGGGTATTCTCTTTTCTGTCCCAGGAATGAAGGGTGAACTTTACCAACAGGATTGGGACCCACTGAGTACTGAGTGACACAAGGGTGGAAATTCCTAAAAGTGTAACTTGAGATGATGACACCACTCTCTAATCATCTTCTTCTTATGCCCTCTCTTCAGTGATACCAAACATAGAACAGTTCCTAAGAAGTGATGGAGAAGAAAATGAAGAGAGGCCTGATATCCGACAGAGCCTTGAACAAGGTGATTGCAAATAGATCGAAACTTTTCTGCTAACAGGAAAGGAGAATGGGAAATGGGCCTGAGTCCTGAGTGGAGTTTGGGAATCAGGGAAGACCTGTTGAGGAGCATGGAGAAGGCAGGGAGGGCTGTTTGTATGAAAGTCTGACCAGGGGCTGATCCTGGAGGAGGAGCTATGACAAGATACCATTAGCCCAATAGCCAGACAGAGGAACAGGAACCCAGTGTATCAGGGAACCAAATTTAAAGACAATGCTGACCTGAAAGTAACTGTGATTTAGAGGGAGACCCTGAAGGAGCATATCAGCGTGAAAGCTGTGAAAGGTTAAGAACTATGGGCCCAAAGAGATCCTGGATGATGACAGATAAAGGGGCTGATTTAAATGTGGGGGATGCTGTTCAAGAGCAGGAATAGTTAAGGAGTCATATAGGGAGGGAAGAGAGGAAGTGGTAAGATGTGCAGGAAGATGTGGGTATTTTGAGACAGGAAGAAAGAAGGGAAATGAAAGACAGAAGAATGGGGTAAAGGACACAACAACAACAACCATATTACTAAGAGCTCACTTATTGAACATTTACTCTGGCAGTTGTGAGCTTAGTATTCACAGCTGCCCTTAGGGGGAAGTATCACTCTCTGTTCACTTGCAGAAAAGGAGACTGAAATCTTAAGAGGCCATGTATGTAGTTGGCCTGGGGTTAAATGAGCAGGATGAACCCAGGCATTCTGAACCCAGAGCCTGAATACTTAACCCTATACATACCCAGATAATCTCAGAGAAAAGACAGAATATTGAGTCAAAAATAGGAAAACATGTTCAGGGAGAACGATACAGAAAAAAGAATACTAGGAGAACCAGACACAACCTCATAAAAAGGCCAACAAAACAGAGAAACAGACATTCGAAGAGAGGATGTGATGTGAAGGGGTTGGGGACAAGGAGACATGACTTTGTAGGAGGTAAGGGAAGCCCACCAATCAAAGAAAGCTTCAAGGACAGCAACAAGTTCCCCATAGCTATGGGTGACAAGAAAAGCTATTTGCTCGTTAATTATCTCAGTGAGATGGCGAGACTGAGGTCAGGTGGCACTGATGGCAAGTGTTAGATGGGATCCTCCAGGTCCAAATGGACTTTGTTGATACCTGGGGGAAGGGGATCTTCAAGTCCTACCCTATCTAATAATAGACAAACATGGTAATTGACCATACCTTTGCTATACCTCCCATTGACTGATCAGCACAATATGCAAATTAACTGCCACCAAAGATGGCAGTTAATGTAATTTGCATACATAGGCTCCAAGATTTGGAGTGAAGCCTGATGGCCCCCAGGGTCAGCGTAACAGCAAGGTCTGATGTTTCCGGGGTCAGCTCCGGCTGGAACTTGGCCAGAACGAAGGCCTGGGCTGGATGCCAGAGGCAAACTGGTACCAGCAGCCAGGGGAAAGGAAGGCCTATTGCATGAATCTCTTCGTGCAACAGGCCTCTAGCTTTATAATAATTAATTGGTGATTAAGGGAGAATGTCACAGCCCATACTTTAATATCTGAAATAAACTTCTAAGATCTTTCTCCAGGAACCAGTGACAACTCATATCAAAGGCTGACAGCAGTGGATCCTGATCCCTCAAACAATAGTGGTCTATTCCTGTTGACCGTTCTGTGATCCTTTGCTGTTCTTGTCCCATCTGGCAGGTGCTGTGGTGAGAGGGCTGCTTCTTTTCAGGACTAGTTGCCCAGAATAGTCATTGGCAATTCCTCCAAGGATTTTGTTAACAGAGTCTTCATTTTTCTGGTTGCCTGGGAGAGTTGCTCCTTCCATACTCCTTAAATGCACTTGCTGCCAGCTCCTGACAGCCTGGGCTTGGACCTAATGCCCATGCACCTGGCTTCCCAGTTTTCTGCCTCTATCTTGCTTGAATATGGTTTCAGCCTTGTTTGACATCAGGTCCAGTGGTGGCCAGCACTGCAGCGAGAGTGGTGGGGTAAGGGTGATGTGTGTGTTCCCGATGGGCCAGGGTCTCTCACCTGTTGGGTCCCTCACACAGAACCATAGATGCCCTGTACTTCCTAAGCAAACCCTCTCCTATCATCTCTGGAGCACAGGCCTGGAGCTGCTCTAAAAACATCATAGAAATCATTATTATGTAGCTTGTACTGGAATGTGTTATTTAAGACAGGGTATTCAAAATTAGTAATGCATTTTTATTTTAAAAAATCTTTCACATTTAGTCAAAAAGTTAGCATTTAAGCATATGAAAAATCCAACATGCATCAGTTTATATTCTTAGCTTTTCATCTATCAGTGCTGCTGGTGGGATCAGGAGAGGAGAGAGGAAAGAATCATGATGAGTAATGAGCAGAGAAGAAATTCAGAGTGAGTGTATGTGTGTGTGTCTGTGTGTGTGTGTGCATGCGCGCACACTGGTATAAAGTATAGGAAGCAGGGACAATGACATTATAACCCAAATGATGCAACAAACCACCAATAAATATGTCCAAGAGTCAGACCCAACAGGGATGGTTGAATGTGATGTGAATCACTGAGGGAAAGGCTATGTCACATTTCCCAACCCAAGAGGAGGCTCTAAGGAACTGTGGATGTGGCACAAAACATGAACAAAGTCCCTGGTTCTATGTTAAAATTTGGGGGATTAATTTTTAAATCATCCTAATATACAAAAACCCATGGTCCGTAACATCCACAAGGACTGGAGGCTCGACCAACCGCAAGTCAGTGCTGGGTTGCTCTGGTGACTCAGCACTGACTGCCTCAGCTGCAGGAGACCGATCCAGTACTGACTGCAGAGTGGGCTGTGGATCAGGCTCAGAGAGAGGCCTGGGGAGAAAGAAGCAGGGTCTGATCTGTAGGCTCTGTGACAACTGTTGATCAGCACTTGCCTCTCTCTTTTGTTCTGGGCCTGGCCAGCAGCCACACCTCTTTATCTCTGGCCTCCACTGGGACTGCTGATTAGCCCCACCTCTCTGATCAGGCCCATTGATAGGCCCGGAGATGCTGACTGGCATAGAAACTGACCAATCAGAACCAATCTGGGTGAAGTGTGAGGAGCAAATGGCTACCTAGGAGGCGGAGCTTTTGACACTGACTGGCATAGAAACCGACCAATCAGAACCAAATCTGGGTGAACTGCGAAGGCAGAACCTAAGGTGGGGGCTGAGGAGGGGTTTCAAGGGCAACAGCTGTTTGGTGTAAGGTGTAAGAAAGTGGTTCAATTTTTTAATGACCAGTTTGGTAGTATAGTGCATAGGGATTATGTATTTTTGTCTGCCAAGAGCATTTCCTCCTGATGAAAAAGGCTCCCCCGCCCCCATTTCAGCAATCCTATCCTATATAATCTATCTATACTAAGAGGGTAATATGCTAATTAGACCAGGTCAACCAACCGGCTTCCTTCCAGACAAAGCCATGGTAATGGGGGCCAAGGCAGAGGCTATTAGGGGTGATGAGGATGGCAGGGGAGGGCAGTTGAGGGCAAGATCAGGCTAGCAGGGGAGGACAGTTTAGGATGATTAGGCAGGCAGAGGCATTTAGAGGCAACCAGGCCAGCAGAGGAGGGCAGTTTGAGGCAAGATCAGACTGGCAGGGGAGGGCAGTTGGGAGTGATCAGGCAGGCAGGCAGGCAGAGAGGTTAGGGGCAATAAGGCAGGCAGGCAGAGAGGTTAGGGGCAATCAGGCAGGCAGGCAGAGGCAGGGGAGTGGTTAGGAGCCAGCGGTCCCAGATTGTGAGAGAGATGTCCGGCTGCTGGTTTAGGCCCGATTCCCACAGGGATCAGTGGTCAGACATCCCCCAAGGGGTACCTGATTGGAATGGGTGCAGGCTTGGCTGAGGGACCCCCCCCCCCATGCACGAATTTCGTGCACCAGGTCACTAGTCTTTACATAAGTTTCTTTCCATAGAAAAATAGTAATAAATGAAAAAACCTGAACTTCAATGAAAAAAAAAAACTTATCTATTATTCATAACTATTGAGGGAACAGAGTGGGATGGGTTGATGGAATCAATAATGAGCAGAGGAGGTTCACCATGGGGAAGGGGGGTACACTGATCCTGAGTGATTTACTCAACAATTCATTACTTAGGGTTTCCTGCTCTGCTCTGCCCTCTATCTTTGTCCACAGAACCTTTCACCCTTGCTTACCAGTTCCCTTGCTACTGCTTCCTGCTGGATTCCTAACCTAGGAGAGATCAGCAAGAGAGTGGAGTGTGGGAGCAGAGAAAAGCTGAGTATTTTGCTGTCACTATCTTGGAAAGCAATTCTGCCAGTAGCTGCATCTCCTATGACCACCACCCACCAAGCAGACCAGCCATGGTCCAGCTTCTACCTACCCAGTGACTCAGCACATGAGCTCATCCTTGGTCCCTCCCTCCCATAGCTTTCTGTTGACCATTCTTCCATTTTGATTTCTCAGCTCTTCTACCAGTTGTATAACTAATTCCCTGGATTAAATTCCCTCTGCACCAAAAGCTTAGAGAGTTTTTTATTTTCCTGTTAGACTCTCTGATTGATGCAAGGGACAAATAAAATATCTATGAATCAAAACCTATCTAGGTACAGCCCCACCTGTAAATGGCCTCTCAGAGCAACACCATGAAACACAAGAGATAAATGTGAATGAAACAGGTACCACCAGTGACAACAATGATGCACTAGAAAGCAGACAAAGAAATGAACAATGTGCCCATGAATCTGAGCAGGAAGGTAAGACTGAGTGCCTGGGTTTGATGAATCGTGAAAGGAAACTGGCTGGGGGAGGCATTTGGTGTGGATAAAGTCACCAGGGTAGAACTTTGATAATAATGGGAATTATTAAGATGGAGAAAAGATAAAGAAAATTTTTATTAGAAGAAGCATTCACAGGCCACAGGTCACAGAAATTATTAGGAAACAACAGAATATGACAAAATAGGAAACATAACAGAGAATGGGTAAACTGAAAAATCAGGTGGGGTACTAAGGGCCATGACCAGGGGGAGACAGGGAGACTCTGGGACACATGTAAAGAGGAGCCCACTCCCTGCCCTACACATTTACAGAGCTTCACCCCTAGACAATAGTGGGTCCTGGTTGGCAATGATAAAATAATGTAGAGAAATAAGTATAAAGAGAGAAAGATGCAGAGGAAAATAAATATCAATAGGTATAAAATTGGGGGGAGACACACAGAGAACTATGTCAAGGAAGAGTAAAGGACAATGAATGAAGAACTGGTAGAGAGTGGAGTAGGTAGAGAGAGAGGACCAGGCATTGTCTGATTTGGAGAGATACTGCAAAGAAGGCACAAAGGGCTATTCCTAACCCCATTGAAAAGGTAAGATGTCCACAAAATAAAAATGGCCCTGGAACCCAGTCAGATAAAAATAAGCCTCTCTTCTGAAAAGTAGAAACAAAAATAAAAACAAAAACCCAGAGTTAAGAGAGGCACACAATAAAGGACAGATTTAAGCAGCAGGAAAGGAGAGGGTGGAGGTGCCTTCCCTGAAGTGGCATTACAGGGGAAAGGGCTTGTTGATTGTAGTGAGGGTGCTCATTCCCTTGGGGAAGACTTCATTTATTATAATTTTGTCCAGGAATGGAGCCACCCCGCCATGGAAACCAAATCAATAACCTGGTGAAAATAAAGGAAGAAGATCTGTCTTTAAATTCAGATGTTGAATGGGAAGCCCAAGCAAGGACTGACTGTAACAAGGCATCTGAAATAATAGGCAAGACTGCCTCAAAGAATGTGTGATGTGAATCCCGGGACCAGGCAAGGGTCTGTGATGTGTCATCAGGGCCCATGGAGACAGTCCTGGTGGCCTTGGTTAGAGGTAGAAAGGGGAGGGAATAAGAGCCTTATGCAGTGTGCTCAGCAAAGAAATGTCCCCAGTAATTGGAAAAATAAACAAAAGCAGAAATGGTTGGTTTAATGTCAAAGAGATTATTTCTGTGCAGGAGAGGGAAATGATGGGTATAGGAGAAAAGGAAGAAAAATGAAGAGCCAAGATATTTATTAGAGGAGAGAGAAATAAACAATACAGACAAGGAGAGTTTTAAAGACATTGAATTGCCAGGAATAATTTGTGAAAATTACTTGAGCCAATAGAAAAGTGAAGAAGTAAATGAGAATGGAAGAAAGAGTAGAATGAGGATGGGGACTGGAAGTAGATTAAGGATGGAGGTAGGAGATAGAGCGAGGATGGGGGTAAGAAGTGTGCTGCAGGATGGGCAAAGCTACCCTCTGCACATGAACTTCTCCACCTTCTGGGTAGGACTTGGAGTAACCTGTAGGTCACACACATTTGGGCACAGACCAGGGGGACCTGAGTTAACTTAGCTTCTAGATCTCCCTAGTGCTATCATGAAGGGGTTTCCTGCCAGTGGCCTCCCTGGCCCCATCTTGAGACACTAAAGGGTTTTTCTCCTCTATGCAGTGATCGACAGTGAGGACTCCAAAGAATCCAGTGATGGAGATGTGCCCCCCAAGGCTTCCAGCTCAGCACTGAAAAGGAAAACTGGTAAGGAGGTGGGAGCTCAAGCTTGGGCTGCAGGAACCTGAATTAAGAGTTACTGTTTCCATGCTTTCGCCAGTTTGGCTCAGTGTATAGAGCATCAGCCTGTGGACTCAAGGGTACCGGGTTCAATTCCAGTCAAGGGCACATGCCCAGGTATTGGGCTGAATCCCTAGCAGGGGGTGTGCAGGAGGCAGCCGATCAATGATTCTCTCATCATTGATGTTTCTATCTCTCTCTCCCTCTCCCTTCCTCTCTGAAATCAATAAAAATATATATTTTTAAATGTCAGGCAATTCACCAGCTGGGATTGGGTCACTGATGAAGGTGAGAGTCACAGGTGTGCCAGGAGTCTGAAATAAGGGCTCCCGTTCTCTGCTGAACTTGACTCAGCCTGCTTTGATGCTGAGGTCAAGTGCAGAGGTCCAGTTCATGGCAGAATCCCATTCTTTTTGCTTAGCCTGTTTCTTTTGGGAACAGTAGGAAGGCAAGAAATCATCATACAGTCATGATTAACATGGCCCTGTTGATTGTCATGGAAGATGTAGTAGAAATACACTACTAAAATGGAAGTATCTAGCTTACTACATCACTAAACTAATCATCCTATCTAATAAAAGAGAAACATGGTAATTGGCGTATGACTGCTACCCTTCCCATTGGATAATCAGCGAGATATGCAAATTAACTGCCAGCCAAGATGGCGACCAGCAGCCAGGCAGCTTGAAACTAACATGAGGCTTGCTTGCTTCAGAGACAGAGGAAACCAACATTCCCTGCCTGCTTTGCTGGCCTCTGAGCCTGCAGTTTAAGAAACATTGTAACAAATATAGAAGCTAAACAAAACCCCAGAAACCTGCTTTCATCAAGCCCGGGATCTCAGAGCTGGAGTTATACAGTGTTTCGATTATAGAACCGAAACAAACCAGATACCTGCTTTCAGCAGCAGAAGCCTCAGAGCTGGTGCCAGAGCTAAAGCTGGCCCAGAATTGAAAAAAAAAAAAAAAAAGAAAGAAAGAAAGGAGCAGTTGGGAGCTTCAGTCGGCCTGAAAACAGCCCTCAGCCCCTCACCCAGACTGGCCAGGCACCCCAGTGGGGACCCCCACCCTGAAGGGTGTGTGACCAGCTGCAAACAGCCATCATCCCCTCACCCAGGCTGGCCAGGCATCCCAGTGGGGACCCCCACCCTGAAGGGTGTGTGACCAGCTGCAAACAGTCATCATCCCCTCACCCAGGCTGGCCAGGCACCCCAGTGGGGACTCCCACCCTGATCCAGGACACCCTTCAGGGCAAACCAGCTGGCCCCCACCCATGCACCAGGCCTCTACCCTATATAGTAAAAGGGTAATATGCTTCCCAGCACCGGGATCAGCGGAGCCGCGAGGCCACCTGGCACCGGGATCAGTGTGACAGGGGGCAGCACCCAAACCCCCTGATCGCCCTGTGGCTCTGTGTGTGACAGGGTGCAGCACCACCCCCCCCACCCCACGGGCCCTGCTCTGTGTGTGACGGGGTAGAGCCATAACCTCCCCATCAGCCCTGCCCTGAGTGTGAGAGTGACAGTGCTCCAACCCCCTGATCGGCCCTGCTCTGTGGGTGATAGAGGGCGGAGCCCCAACCCGCTGATCCGCCCTGCTGTGTGTGTGACAGGGGATGGTGCCCCAAATCCCCTATCGGCCCTACTCTGGGAGTGACAGGGGGGAGCTCCCCAACCCCCTGATGGGCCGTGCTCTGTGCATGACAGGGGGTGGCGCCGCAACCTCCCCATGGACCCTGGCTTGAGTGTCACAGGGGGCGGTGCCCCAACCCCCCAATCGGCCCTACCCTGAGCATGACTGAGGGTGGCATCGCAACCTCCCAATCCGCCCTGCTCTGTGCATGACAGGGGGCGCTGCCCCAACTCCCCAATCGGCCCTGCTCTGAGCCCGACCAGGGGCTGCACCTAGGGATTGGGCCTGCCCTCTGCCAACTGGGAGCAGGCCTCAGCCAGCAGGGCGTTATCTCCTGAGGGGTCCCAGACTGCGAGAGGGCACAGGCCAGGCTGAGGGACCCCCCCTTCCCCTCCAAGTGCACAAATTTTTGTGCACTGGGCCTCTAGTTAATAATAATCATTGTAGTAATAAAAATTAATAAAGTCTTGATTTTGTACAGTGATATGCATCCCTAACACACCCATATCCTGTGGAACCCATTAAAGCCAACTATTCTTTTGCTTCTCAATAATAGTGTCATTTTGTCACAATCTTAGTGAAGACTCAAAAGACAACTAATTCTACCGCTAAACTGTTAGGAGGAAAAACATCAAATCAACTATTCATAACCCAGCACATTTTTTAAAAATATATATTTTTTATTGATTTTAGAAAGGAAGGGAGAGGGAGGGAGAGATAGAAGCATCAATGTTGAGAGAGAATCATTGATTTCTCTGCCTCCTGCACACCCCCTACTGGGGATCAGCCCGAAACCCAGGTATGCACCCTGACCTGGAACCGAACTATTTCATAAGTCAATGCTCAAACATTGAACCACACCAGCCAGGCAACCCAGCACACACTTTTTATGTATGTCTGTGCTCTAGCATGTCACAGGCTTGCACAGTGATGTCATACAAACTTTTGCACAAACCTCCTCATAAAAATCTTAAGGATATGAGACCTGGTCCTATCTCTGAGTACAAAGGTGTTTAAGAGTATTTTTCAAAATGTTATCTAATCTAATAAAAGACAAACATACAAACTGACCGTTCCTTCGCTATTCCTTAAGCCACACCCACCAGCCAATCAGAGCGATTATATGCAAATTAACCCAACCAAAATGGCGTCCGGAAGCCATGGAGCTGGAGAGAGAAGGAGGCTTGGTTGCTCTAGTGATGGAGGAAGCCAAGCTTCCCACCTGTCCTGGCCAGCTCTGCGCTCCACTCAAGGCTACAAAGTTTCAATTATAGAATGCAAATAAATCTTAGAATCAAAAAAAAAAGAAAAAAAGGAGAGACTGGGAGCTTCCGTTGCCGGGGGACTTGGCCAGCCTGAAAACTATCCTCAGCCCCTCACCCAGACTGGCCAGGCAGCTCAGTGGGGACACCCCACCCTCAAGGGGGTGTGGCCAGCCTAAAAAGAGCCATCAGCCCCTCATCCAGGCTGGCCAGGCACCCCAGTGGGGACTCCCACCCTGAAGGGAGTCTGACCAGCTGCAAACACCAATCAGTCCCTCACCCAGGCTGGTCAGGCACCCCAGCAGGACCCCCACCCTGATCCGGGACACACTTCAAGGCAAACCAGCCAGCCCCCACCCATGCACCAGGCCTCTAGCCTATATAATAAAAGGGTAATATGCAAACTGACCCTAACAGCAAAGTGACTGGGAATCACTGGTCACTATGACACACAGTGACCACCAGGGGGCAGATGCTCAATGCAGGAGCTGACCCGTGGTGGTCAGTGCGCTCCCACAGGGGGAGCTCTGCTCAGCCACAAGCCAGGCTGCCAGCTGCCAGTACAGCAGTGGTGGTGAGAGCCTCTCCCGTCTCTTCAGCAGCACTAAGGATGTCAGACTGCAGCTTAGGCCTGCTCCCTGCTGGCAAGTGGACATCTCCCGAGGGCTCCTGGGCTGCCAAAGGGATGTCTGATTGCCAGCTTAGGCCCAATCCCCCCGGGGAGCATACCTAAGCCAGCAGGTGGTCATCCCCTGAGGGGTCCCAGACTGCGAGAGGGCACAGGCCAGGCCGAGGGACCACCCCCTGAGTGCACAAACTTTTGTGCACTGGGCCTCTAGTTGAGAAATAAAGGAAGATCCAGGGCTGATTCTGAAGTCCTACTTCTCAATATAGTAGGTTTATGGTTGTGATTACTTTAGAAGAAAGAAACAATAAATCAAAAACCTTTATAAACTCAAGCCTTCTGCAGTATGAATCATCCTAAAATTTGTGGGGGTTTTTAATCCTCACTGGAGGATATTCCTTCCATTTATCTTTAGAGAGAGTGAAAGGGAATGAGGAGCAGGGAGAGAGACAGAAAAAAAAAAAAACATTGCCGTCAACTAGTTGCCTCCCACACTTGCCCCAACTGAGGTCAGAAATGAAACCTGCAACTGAGGTACATGCTCTTGACCAGGAATTGAACCAGTGACCCTTTGGTCATAGATTGATGCCTTAACCACCAAGAAAAACTAGCAAGAGCAAATTTGTAAATTTTATTTAATCATTTCCATTTTCTCACCACCAACTGTTTGTTGTAGGTACTATGGATTTTGGAAACAACTCCATTTCAGAAAGAGCCAAGAGGAGAAGAAGTAAGAATAAGATTTTATTTGCTTTTGATGTGAGAAATGTTTTTTGGTTTTTGTTTTTTGTTGTTTTTTTTTAAAAATATATTTTATTGATTTTTCACAGAGAGGAAGGGAGAGAGATAGAAAGCTAGAAACATCGATGAGAGAGAAACATCGATCAGCTGCCTCAGCTGCCTCCTGCACATCTCACACTGGGGATGTGCCCGCAACCCAGGTACATGCCCTTGACCAGAATCGAACCTGGGACCTTTCAGTCCGCAGGCCGACGCTCTATCCACTGAGCCAAACTGGTTTCGGCGAGAAATGTTTTATAATGCCAGTGTTTCATCATCTTTATTTGTTATCCTATATAATAAAAGGGTAATATGCAAATTGACCAATGGGACCACTGGGAACAACTGGTTGCTATGACGTGTACTGACCACCAGGAGACAGACGCTCCACAGGAGCTGCCCCCTGGTGGTCAGTGTGCTTCCACAAGGGGAGCTCCACTCAGCCACAAGCCAGGCTGATGGCTGCACGCACAGCGGCAGTGGCAGGAGCCTCTCCCACCACTTCGGCAGCACTAAGAATGTCCGACTGCAGCTTAGGCCCACTTCCCAGGTGGACTTTTCCACAGGGGTCCTGGACTGTGAGAGGGCACAGGCCAGGCTGAGGAACCACCCCTGCACCCCCTACCCCTCCAGTGCACAAAATTTCAATTACAATATTGTGGTAGGTAGAACAATTGCTCCTCAAAGATGTCCATGTCTTAATTCCTGAAACCTGTAATCTGTTCTCTTACATGACAAGTGGACCTTGCAGATTTAATTAAACTTGGACCTTAAAATGGGAGAAGTTATCCTGCATTACCAGGGTGGCCCCAATATATTCCCCTAGTCCTTAAAAAATGGAGAATCTTTTTTTGGTGTGGAGAGAGGAAGAAGAATGGTCAGAGAGACACAATATTGCAGCTTTGAAGATGGAAGAAGGGCCCTAGCTAGTTTAGCTCAGTGGATAGAGCGTCAGCCTGCAGATTGAAGGGTCCCAGTTCAATTCCGGTCAACAGCACATATCGGGGTTATGGGCTTGATCCCCAGTGGGGGGCGTGCAAGAGGCATCCAATCAATGATTCTCTCTCATCATTGATGTTTCTATCCCTCTCACCCTCTCCCTTCCACTCTGAAATCAATAAAAGATTTTTTTTTAAAGATGGAGGAAGAGAATAGGGAATGTGGGAGATCTTAAGGATCTGTAATTCACACAGCATTCACCTCCTTGGGCATGATGTGAGATAGGAATTACAAGAAATTACCCCAACACTTTTACATGAATTGAAATGCCCTTTCATGTGACTTGCCCTGTACTCATGGACCTGTGAATAGAATTCTATGCTGAAAAACTAGTCTGTTTATAATTCAGTACAAAATTGGCTCAATTACAAAGGTTTAAAGTAAAATTTGCTTTTCCTACCCACTATATTTTCTGTTGCAAAAAAATAAAAAATAAAAAAAAAGATACCTTGAGGAGAAATAGAAAAGACAAAGATTTCAGACATTCAGTGATGTTGAACTTCTGTGTGTTCAGAATCTAATCAAGATTTTCTCCTAAAACCTCCAAATTCCTTTGGGAATTTGAAAGTACAATAAATTTAAAGATTATTTGGGGTAGAATTTAAACATTCTTAAAGGAGAATGACCTACGCATTTATTCAAGTCACCTTTTTTGTTCTTCAACAAAATTGTATAGCTTTCTTTCTATAGATTGTGCATGTTTTTACTTTCCCTGTCAGATTTTCTGAGATATAATTTATATTCAATAGATTTCATCACTTTAAAGATTTAATTGAATATGTTTTAACACATATAGATAGTCATGTAAACCAACATGATCATGACATAGAATATTTCCATCATCCACAAATATCCATTTGTGTCTCTCTTTGCACCCCCTGATCTTGAAACAGTGGATCTGTTTTTATCACTGTAATTTTTCTCCCAGGAATTTCATATAAATGAATTTATACAATATATAGTTTATTTATGTCTGTTCTTGTTTTACTAAGCATAATGCTGTTGAGACACACTGATATTGCTCCGTGTATCTGCAGTTACTCCATTTCTGTTGCTGAGAAGTATTCCTTGTATGAATAAGCAGCTGATTTATCTATTTGCCTGTTCATAGGCAGTGAGCTATTTTCATTTTGAAAAAAAAAAAACAACAACAATGAGGAACATGTTCATACAAATATTTGGGTGAACATTTTTTTAATTTTTCTTGGATAAATACTAAAAGAAGTACTACTAAGTCATATTAATTGAACTAACTGCATGTTTGATGCTTTGTGAATCTGCCAAAGTATTTTTCAAAGTGGTTGTATCCTTTCATATTTCCACTAGCAATGTTTGAAAGTTCCAATTGCTCTGCATACTCACCAGTACTTGGTATTGTTAGTTTTTTTTTTTATTATACCTATTCTTAGGAGGCATTTAATGGTTTTTCCTATAATTCTAATATTCATCTTCCTAATAATTAATGGTACTGAACATCTTTTCATTTACTTGCCTTTATCCACAGATCCCTTTTGGTGAAGTATCTATTGAAATCTTTTACCCTTATTTAGTTGAGCTATCTCTTTTTTTTGTTTCGTTTTGTTTTGTTTTGTTTTGTTTTGTTTTGTTTGTTAAAGAGTTATTTATATGTCCTGAATTCAAATCCTTTGTTGGTTATGTCTTATAGTCTGAAAAAGCTGACCTTTTCATTTTCTTGGCACTATCTTTTCAAGAACAAAATTTTTAATATTTGATGAAGTCTAATTCAACAATTTTCCCTTTTATAATCTATAATTTGGGGTTCTATTTAAGGAATCTTTGCCTAATTTGAGATCCTGTTTTCTCCAAGAAGTTTTATGGTTTGATGTTTACATTTAGCTCTATGATCCAGTTGACGTTAATTTTTGCATATGATGTTAGCTAAGGCTTTTTTTTTTTTTTTTTTTTTGGCATAGGGATATTCAATTGTCCCTGCAAAATTTGATGAAAATACTATCCTTTCTACATTGAATTAATTTTATTTTACATCCATTTGAAAATAAATTGGCCATATGACTTTGAGTGTATTTCTGGAGTTATTTTTCTGTTCCATTTACCAATATGTCTACCATTATGTCAATACTACAGGATCTTGATTACTGTAGCTTTATAATGAGTCCTGAAGTCAGGTAGTAAGGCCTACAATTTTGATTCTCTTTTTCAAAATGCTTTTAGCTCTTTTAGGCCCTGTGCATTTGGAAGTTTCTTCTATCTTTAATTTTAGATACTTTTTAAAAATTGGTTTCACAGAGGAAGGCAGAGGGAGAGTGATAGAAACATAAATGATGAGAGAGAATCGCTGATCAGCTGACTCCTGAACACCCCCTACTGGGGATGGAGCCCGCAACCTAGGCACATGCCCTTGACTGAAATTGAACCTGTGACCCTTCAGTTCGCAGGCCGATGTTCTATCCACTGAGCCAAACAGGCTAGGGCCATTTTAGCCACTTTTAAGATCATGTCACTTTCCAAGGTTCCTACTGAGCTCCAACCATATGGCTATGTTCTAGGCCATCCAAAAGATAAATGGAGAAAAGCAAAATATATCTTTCTGCAGAATGCTAGCCCTTTTGTGTGAAGCTTTCCTAGAGTTTCCCTCATCCCACAAAAATAATTTGTTCTCATCTTACTCAACAAATCTTAACCTGGTGGTCCTGCCAAATATTAGGGAAGTTATGAACTATGGTGTTTTGTCTGGACTCTGACATCTCTGAGAATGCAGATATTCTGTTAGTAAGTTAAGAATTAAAATGGGTTTCTGGAACATGACATGAAGAATTTATTTCAGTAACTCTTTAAAATGTGTTGAAAGTCCCTTTGGAACCTGTGTGGCCAATATTCGTAAATGTTCTAGGTCACTTTGAAATATGTACATTTGAACACCTTCCTGGGTTCCAGCTTCTCCCTTCATAAAGGCTCTTTATCAAGCACACTGTTTAAATTTACTGGATCAGTGGTAAACTAAGTAGTATTTGTTCCATCATGTTGGATAGAGATGTTTTAAGTTTTCCAAATGATTATATTTGCCAACTCCTCCATGTTCTGTTGTTTTACATTAAAATTTTGATGCCATTTATGATTGTTATAACTTAGATACCTTCTTATTTTATAGTTCCCCTTTATCCTTATCAATGCTTTTAACCTTCAAATCTTTTTTTTTTCAGGATGCTAATATTGCGACATTAACTTTTATAGTTTTTACCCCTTTTCATAGATCCCCACCCCATGCAACTTTGTTTTATATCTCTTGTAAAAACACAGCTTTTTGTAATTTTCTCAGATAATCCTCATCTTTTAATAGTTGTTTTATTTGGTACTTTCATTATGATCCCTGATATATGTGTACTTCTACATCTATATTGTTGTTAACCATTATTTTTGTGTGTTTCTGTGTCACTTTCCTACTATCTGAATGATTGAGATAGAATTTTATTTTCTACCTTTTTCTCCACTGGTTTGGAAACTGGAGGTAAAATTTCTATAATTTCTTTAACCATGCCTAATCTCAACAGATAACAAGGATCTTAGCATGGATTCCCACAAATTCAACATCCCATCTCCATCATTTAGCTATTGTTACTAAATTTCTTCTCATTATAAATTTTGGAACATTATCATTTACTTAAATTTGTCATCATTGTATGCACATCATTTTATGTTTCTTTTTTGGTTTCAACATTGGTCTAGCTGAATAAATCCTTGGTTCTTTTAGTGAGAGTGTCTAAGTGTTATATGTGCAAATTTGGCTTTATTTTGAAACAATTTTTTATTGATTTTTCTATAGAGAGAGGAAGATAAGATGATAGATGATATATAGATAGATAGATATATATATAGATAGATAGATATATATATAGATAGATAGATAGATGATAGAAATCTTTTTGGAAGAGAAATATTGATCATTTGCCTTTTGTATGGGCTCCAACTGACCGGGGACCTAACCAGAAACCTAGTAATGTGCCCTGACCAGGAATCAAACACACAGCCTTTCTGTGCAAGGGATGGCACTCCAACCAACTGAGCCACACTGTACAGAAAGAATTTTTTTTGCCAAGATTAAAAAATTCTAGGTCAATGTTTATTTCTCTTCAGTATACTAATACGATTACTGCATTTTCTTCTAGACTCTATTGTGTGGCTGATGAATATTCTCCTTGTATTTTAACTGTCACTTTTTGGTTAATAAGCTATTTTGCTTGCCAAAATATCTTTTTCCAACTTTGGAATTATGAAAACTTTAAGGCTACTGAAAAACTTGAAAAATTTGACAGTAAACATAGACTCACAATTAGCATGTATTGTGCTTACTTTATCTCATTTTTGTCCATCTATGTATTTCTCGATTCATCCACTAACCATCCTCAACTTTGAAACATTTTAAAGTTGCAGACAATAATACACTTCCCCCAAAACACTTTAGCATGCATATCATTAACTAGATTCAATATTTGTTTGTATTTCTTTTTCTTTTAGATAAAATTTACAATGAGATGTACAAATACTAGATATATCATTCTATGGATTCTGATAAAAGTGTTCTCCTGTAAAATCCTAATTGTTATCAAGAGACAGAATATGACCATCACTCTAGAACTTAAACAGCTCTCCTCTGAGGGGGACACTTTACTATCCTGGGATAATTAAGAGGGAGATGCTCTCTATTTTATACTGGTCAGAAAACAAATTTGCCCTCTGACTTGGGGAGCAACATTAACTCTAGCTTCTAAAACTCTTTGCTATTCACACATCCTTGAAAAGATACTCTGGGGCATGTGGAATTGCATGGAGAATTGGGTCCTAACAAATTCACCTCACAAAGTATGTTCTGGCTATTTCCCTGTGCAGACACCACTCCACCAGCCAAGATTAACCTGACCCCTGGAGTCTAGTAGTATATTCATTCAAATTTTTTCCTTCAGAATTTAACAAATGTCCTAAACCATAATTTCTTAGGTCTCCTATGACCACTGCTGTGGTGCAAGTCACCATGGTTGCATGAGGGAGGCAAGTGAATGCCTGGCTTTCACACAAGAAATGCAATCCCAACGGCACACATGGTGATCCTGAAACAGAGGCATTTATAATTGTTCAGGTTCCTGAGGGGAATATATCAGCCATAAGTAGGGTTGGTCCATGATCACCTGTAACCTTAAAGTTTTCATCTCTGTTCATTGTGACTGGTTTTGGAAAGAGATGGGGGCAATACAATCTATCCAATCTGCTCTATTTCTCCATGATGTCTCCCGCAAGCCTTCATCCAATGACTGAGAATCAGTGAGGGGACCATGTCCAGAAATGTTCTGCCTGGGAGATACTAATGCTGGCAGAAGCCCCTGATTCCTCACATCTGATGCTGAATGGCAGAATCAGTATCTACATACGTGGTGGGAGAGCTAGACAAGAGTGATTTCTTTCAGGAGAGTCTTGAAAGACAAATATGGTTAGTGCTCTTTCACCTCCCACACCTCCTAGGTGTTTCATTCTCAGGTGCCTGGATCTTTTGCTCTTCCTTCACTACCAAAAATATGGAGGGGGGTATATATTGTGTACCATTCCATTGGCTGTAACCTCATCTCCTTATCATTCGTTCTAATAATCTCCTTTTGTCACTCAGAATTTTTATCCACAAGGGTCAGATACAAGCAGGGCAAAGGCATTTTCAAAAAATATAACCAAAATCTCTAGGCACTCTGAAGAGTGGGAAAGAACAATGCATCCTCACCAGCAATGGTCAGAACAGAATCCAGATTTGCACAATTGGTCTATATAATGCCATTAATTCCCCACCACTCTTGTCCTTATCACAATGCAGGAAGGAGCTGATCCCTTTCTGCCTAGATTGGGGAAAGCTGCCTTCAGTGACAAAATACCCATAATAGAGAAGTGTGTGGATAGGAAGAGACGAGGTCATAGAGTTAGATGCTCAGAGCATTGCTTGTAGCCTTTTATAAAGGACACACCATTGTGAGACTGTAATGGCCCAGCAAGTCATGCAATTTGCAGATTGTTCTTGAGCTTCCTCAGCTCCTCTTTTAGCTTTGGAGAAAGTTGATGTGAGGGACAAATGAGGCAAAGTAGAGAACATGAATAGCAGGTAGACACTATCTTCAGGGTTAACTCATTACTATCCTCTCCCTAAGTCAGAGCTCAAATGAGGAGATACAAGTATAGTCTCTGATATTGTCTCCAGCTACCTAACTGCACTGGAAGAGCATAGATGGAGACCTTCCTTCAGAACTTGACAGCAGCTGTTTGTTTCATTGTCATGAAAGAATCAAGGGAGGGGATGACTGCATTGAGAGTTACTACAGTTTTATAGAAGCCTGGTAGCACTTTGCTAAGGCATTCTGATTGTGTGAGATTTGAGAGGAGGGATGAAGGTAAGCATTCTATTGCTGTGCATCAAAAATGCCACTGACAGAAAGACTTTGAAACTCTGAAGATTTGTGAGATAAAGTTTCCTAAGTACTCCTATGTCTTTATAGAAACCATCTCAACTTGGGAGGAAGTTGTATTTGTGCAGTTGTAAAATGAGATACAATGAAGAATCTTCTCTTTCAGGGACAAAAATGCGCACAGATGAGACTGTGGATTTTAAAGCTGAAATACTTCCTGTGACCTGTGGGGAGATGGTGGGCATGTTAATTAAGAGAAAATTGAAACGAGGTAAGATTCAAGGTCTACTTTCACTTATAAGCCCTCCATGAAGGAATCACAAAAAGTAATGGAATTACCCATGTAAATTACCCATTGTTTAAGGAATTGAGGCCCCAGTTTTGTCTTGAGAAGAGGTAGGGATCTCTAAGATGATGTTTTTACACTTTAAGAAATGGTGCATATTAAGTGCTCACTTCCAGGTGGATGTATCCATGAGGATGCCCAAGGAACCAAAGAGAAGTGCAGAAACGTCAGTCTGTGGGTGGAAAATATTGCATACTTTATTTTGAATCAGCTTCCACCTTCATGTCCTATACCCCTTCTGGAAATCATCAACAAGACAGGGTGTTTGTTGTTGTGAGGAGTTCACAAAATTTAAAATCAGAAAACCTGAGTCCCAGCCTCAGCTCTGCCAAGAGTGACTGAGTAAAGAATGGGACTTTTCTGAGCCTGAAACTTCTCATCTAATAAATGGATAATAATTAAAAACCTGCCTCCTGGTGTGACTTTGAGACAATGTACATAATGACTGTAAAATGTTTTCTGATTTGAACATTATAAAGCTTTCCAATAGTTATCTATTATGATGAACCCCATATCAGATTAATCTTAATGTGGGTATGTGAAAAAATTATATGTTTGCATCAAAACTATTTTTAAACAGCTTTACTGAGATATAACTCACATATATACTAGTAATTCACCATTTTAAGTGTAGAATTCACTGTTGAGCTTTTTGTTTCTGTTTTGTTTATTCACAAGATTATAAAACCATCATTACAATCTAATTTAAGAACAGTTTTGTGCCCCACTAAAGGAAACACCATGTTCTCTCAGGAGTCAATACCCACTCCCACCTCACCCCACCATCCAGCTCTAAGCAACCACTCATCTCTTTTATGATCTATATACTGGCCTATTCTAAATATTTCATATCCATTGACTCATATAACAAGTGCCTTTTGGTGACTGGTTTTCACTCAGCATGATGTTTTCCAGGTTCATATGTATATATCATGCATTATACTTTATTCTTTTTTATTGTCAAACTAGAGGCCCGGTGCACAAATTGTGCACTAGTGGGGTCCCTTGCCCTGCCCCACAATTAGGGCCAAACAGGGACATGTCGCCCAGTCTTGATGGGGGCCGATGGGGGCCGGTGGGCTGGGGAGTGACCATGGGAAGTTGGCTAGCCAGCCAGGAAGGGACCACAGGAGGGCTCCAGGGAATGTCCAACCCTCTCGCCCAGTCCCGATCAGCCAGACCCCAGCAGCAAGCTAATCTATCAGTCAGAGTGTTTGCTCCCTGGTTGTCAGTGTGCATCATAGGGAACAATCTGTCAGACACTTAGCATATTGCGCTTTTATTATGTAGGATAATATAATAGTCCATGGTGTGGAGACACAGTAACACATTTATCTATCAGTTTAGGTTTTCTCACCCTTTCACTATTATGAGTAATGCTGTTTTGAATAAAGATTTTTGTGAACCTGGTTTTTTAATTCTTTTCACTAAATACTCGGGAGTGGAATTGCAGGGTTATATGGCAATTCTATGTTGAACTTATTGAGAAAAATCAAAACTATTTTCCACAGTATGGCACCAGTTTATATTCCCACCAGTAAAATCTGAGTTCTCTTATTTCTCTGCATCCTCACCAACACTGCTTGTTGTCTATCTTTTTCATTACAGCCATCCTAGAAGGTGTGACGTAGTATCTAAATGAGGTTTTTATTTCCTTTTCTCTAATGAATAATGTTATTAAGTATATGACTATCTATTTTATCTATATATAAGTAAAATTTTCCACTGAATAATATTTCACAATTACTTTAAAGTCAGTTATCCATGATTTCACATAAGAAAAATATCAGCCCAATAATGCCATTGAACTGGAAGGAAATCATCGTAATACAGGGCACAGATGTTGCCTTAGTGTCATTGAGAGCAGCAGGGCAGGGCCTCCATTTCAGATTTCACTCCAAAGTAGAAAATCTCCTTACATGGTATTTATGGGCTGGGTTTGGGGATTCTCAAGTATAAAAGGTGAGGCCACACTCTTCTGCTAGTGATCTTGAACCCAAATTGGGTGGCTGTAGATCCCGTGTCTGAGCTCTGAGGACAAGGATGTTTCAGGATCAACTTATCCTGGTCTTACAGGAGCCACGGTGAAGTGTATAAGGAGAGAGGATGGAAATTGGTACACCCCCAGGGAATTTGAAGTTGCAGGAGGCTATGAAAAATCAAGTAACTGGAAGAACAGCGTGTGCTGCGGTGGGACAACCCTAAAAAACCTGAAAGAGGTATTCCAGTGACTTTCCTTGTTGTATTAGAAGAAAAGGTCACTATTTGCTCACAAAATATATGTTGAGTCATGGCTATAGGCCTGAGGTCCCCTAACATTATCCTGGTCCTGGAGGGAGGAACCCCACACTCATAAGTCAGTACAAGACAGCACATTGATGTTGTCAAAGGGTCTCGGTTGGGGCAGGAGACTAGAGGAGGGAAAGGTCATTCTGATGGAGGTGCTTGCAGACAACTTTAGCCACTGAAAGAAAGGAGACTATCTATAGTCAAACAAGTGGTCAGAAGGCACTCAAGAGAAAGAGTGGTGTAAAAACCAGAACCATTACTAACCTGGCTCCACAGATTGAGGTAGATGGATTGTGTGTGATGAGGCATAATCCATCAATTGGGGGGGGGGGGTTTGGATGATTTAATGCCAGGCTAAGGATTTTAAACTCATAGCATAGACAATGCAGAACCAGGGAAGTCTCCTGAGGTATGAAATGACATATTTGAAACAGTATCTCAGACAACATGGGGCCTACTAATCACTTCACTGTCTTTCAGCCCAAGACACCTATTGTGAACCTACAATTCTCAGCTCCAATGTCACCCCTCTCTGAATATTCACTGACTGACCTGCCTTGTCATCCCTTCCCTGGCCCCCCCTGACCACACTATTAAGGCCCTTCTCTCAGTTTTATACTTATCCTTTCATGCAAACCCTTGCTCTCCTAGATCCCTCTAGGGTTTATACATCTTTGTGTGCCCAACATTGTGCAGAGTATCTGACACTCAATAGCTGTGGGACATGTGTGTGTCAGTTGAGCAGCCCTGGTGTGAGGAAATAACTTGAGTGGCATTGGTGGGAATGGAACGGAAGTGAAAGCTGTCAAAAAGGTTGTCAAGGAAATGAAAACTTAAGTAAATAAGAACAAACACAAAAGAAAAGGAAAAAAATCTAAGGAGGATTTTCCAGCTACTATTAATGAATTCTAGAAGCACATTGAGGAGGGGAAGATGGGTTCTCATTTAGACATCTTGGTTTGAGCTGAAAGTGGAACATTCAAGTAGAAATATTTGGGAGGAGGTTGAAATGCCAGATCCACAAAACATAAACACAGGCTAACCATACACTTGGATCTTTAACTCTTTCAGTATCTACCTGAACTTCCAGGAAAAGGTGGCATGAAGAAAAAGGTGATTATTACTTTATACAAGTTCTTTTTCTTAATCTTTATTGTTGAAAGTATTACATCAATCTCCCTTTTTACCCCATTAACCTCTTCCAGCGTGATCCCATCCCCCCAACCCCACCACCCCACGCCCTCACCATCCAATTGTCTGTCGCAAAGGACAATTGTATATGCATCCAAGTCTATTGGTTGATCTCTTCCTACCCACCCTCCTCTGCCTTCCCTCTAAGTTTCAACAGTCTGTTCTGAGATCATGTGATAGTTATCTTTCTCTGACTGGCTTATTTCGCTTAGCATAATATTCTCCAGGTCCATCCATGCTGTTGCAAATGGTAAGAGTTTTTTCTTTTTTATTGCCACACTAGAGGCTTGGTGCACAAAAATTTGTGCACTCGGGGGGTAGGGGGGCGTCCCTCAGCCGGGCCTGTGCCCTCTAGCAGTCTGGGACCCCTCAGGGGATGACCACCTGCTGGCTTAGGTCCACTCCCTGGGAGATTGGGCCTAAGATGGCAATCAGACATCACTCTGGCAGCCCGGCAGCCCTTGGGGAATGTCCACTTGCCAGCAGGGAGCAGGCCTAAACTGCAGTCAGACATCCTTAGCACTGCTGAGGAGGCAGGAGAGGCTCCCACCACCACCGCTGTACTGGCAGCCATCAGCCTGGCTTGTGGCTGAGCAGAGCTCCTCCCATGTGAGAGCACCCTGACCACCAGAGGGCAGCTCCTGCATTGAGCGTCTGCCCCCTGGTGGTCAGTGTGTGTCATAGTGACCAGTCATTCCCAGTCACTCTGCTGTTAGGGTCAGTTTGCATATTACCCTTTTATTATATAGGATAGAGGCCTGGTGCATGGGTGGGGGCCGGCTGGTTTGCCCTGAAGGGTGTCCTGGATCAGGGTGGGGGTCCTGCTTGGGTGCCTGGCCAGCCTGGATGAGGAGATGAGGGCTGTTTGCAGGCTGCCCTCACCCCCTTCAGGGTGGGGGTCCCCATTGGGATGTCTGGCCAATCTGGATGAGGGGCTGAGGGCCGTTTTCAGACTGGTAGGTAACTGAAGCTCCCAGCCTCTCCTTTTTTTCTTTTTCTTTTTTTATTCTGGGATTTACTTACTTTCTATGGCTGTCATTGGAGCTGAGAGCCGGCTTTAGCTCTGAGGCCGGCTCCAGCTTGAGGCCTTGGCTGCTGGAAGCAGGTATCTGGAGTTTGTTTGGCTTCTATAATTGAAACACTGTTGCCATCACTGCCGCTCTAAGCTCTGAGGCTGAAGCTGGCTGAAAGCAGGTTTCTGGAGCTTGTTTAGCTTCTATAATTGCAACATTGTTTCTTAGACTGCAGCTCAGAGGCCGGCAATGGCAGGCGGGGAACCTTGGCTTCCTCCATCACTGGAGCAAGCAAGCCTCCTGTTTGCTTCAGCTGCCTGGCTGCTGGACGCCATCTTGGTTGACAGTTTGCATATTGACCTGATTAGCCAATGGGAAGTGTGTCTGAGGTATGGTCAATTTGCATCTTTCTCTTTTATTAGTGTAGATAGTATTCCATTGTGTAAATGTACCACCATTTTTTATTCACTCATCTGTTGATGAGCACTTAGGTTGTTTTACATGATAATTTCATATGTGAATTTTTATTTATTGTTTAACGTATTACATATGTCTCTTTTTTCCCTGATTGACCGTCCCACAACTCCCACCCCTGAGGGCAAGCCCCCACCGCCCCAGCATCTATGTTCATTGGTTATGCTAATATGTATGCATACAAGTCCTTTGGTTGGTCTCTTAAACACCCCCCCCCCCCACTTTCCTGCCTTCTCTCTGAGGTTGGACAGTCTGTTCAGTGCTACCTTGTCTCTGGATCTACTTTTGTTCATCAGTTTATGCTGATCATTATATCCACATATGAGTAAGATCATGTGATACTTATCTTTCTCTGACTGGCTTATTTCACTTAGCATAACGCTCTCCAGTTCCATCTATGCTGTTGCAAATGGTAAGAACTCTTTCTTTTTTACCGCAGCGTAGTATTCCATTGTGTAGATGTAGCACAGCTTTTGAATCCACTCATTTTCTGATGGCACTTAGGCTGTCTCCAAATCTTAGCTATTGTGAATTGTGCTGCTATGAACATGGGGATGCATGTATTCTTTCTGAGGAGTGTTTCAGGTTTCTTAGGATATATTCCTAGAAGTGGGATCACTGGGTCAAGTGGGAGTTCCATTTTTAAGTTTTTGAGGAAACTCCATACTATTTTTCCATAATAGCTGCACAGTCTGCTTTCCCACCAGCAGTGTACTAGCATTACCTTTTCTCCACAACCTCTCCAATACTTGTCATTTGTTGATTTATTCATGATAGCTATTCTGACAGGTGTGAGGTGATATCTCATTATCATTTTGATTTGCATTTCTTGGATGATTAGTGACTTTGAGCATTTTTCCATATGTCTCTTGGCTTTCTATATGTCCACTGTGGAGAAGTGTCTATTTAGGTCATTTGATATTTTTAATTGGATTGTTTGTCTTCCTTTTGTTAAGTTGTATGAGTTTTCTATATATTTCAGAGATTAACCCCTTATTGGATGTATCATTTGCAAATGTGTTCTCCCAAGTAGTGGACTCTCTTGTTATTTTGTTGATGGTTTCTTTTGCAGTACAGAAGCTTTTAGTTTTAATGTAGATCAATGGAATAGAACAGAAATCAACCCAAGCCACTATGCTTAGTAATATTTGACAAAGGAGGCAAGAGCATACAATGGAGTAGAAACAGTTTCTTCAATAAATGATGTTGGGAAAATTGCACAGGTTCATGCAAAAAAATGAAACTAGACCACCAAATTACATCATACACAAAAATAAACTCAAAATGGATAAAAGACTTAAATGTAAGATATGAAACCATAAAAGTCTTAGAAGAAATGATAGGCACCAAAATTTCATACATCTCTCATAGCAATATGTTTTCCCATACATCTCCTAAGACAATGAAAACTAAGGAGAAAATATACAAGTTCTTATTACATAGCTCATTTTATATGATATAGCATCTTTTTTATGGTTTCTCAGTTTTGTAATTAACATTGTTGCCTCTTCTCCTGGTTCCTCCCTTCATTTTATTTAATTAATTATTTTATTTTGTATGTGCCTTCAGATTTGTTCCATTGAACATTAGGTTGAATGCAGGGTCATCTTTGAATGGTAAACCATTTGAGATGAGGATAATAAAGAGCCATCAAAATAGATCTCATAGCTGAGTTTTAGCTATAGATGCAGATATTGTCAGGGTGTCCAAGTTATAAAAGCAGACATAATTATGGAATACATAAAAATATTTCTTAATAAGGTCACAGGCTCATCTTTAATTCAGACCAGATATTTTTCATAAAGGTTACTATTTTCTAACTTTAGTAAAATCTGATGAAGCAAAATTTGATCACCATCATCCAGATGAACCAGGTTTAGTACTGAGTCTATCTTGGGATATATATGAAACCATACACTATTTCATGAGATAGGCAACTAAAAGCATATTTCTTTTTTGCTTTTGTTTTACAGCATCTTCCATTCCTGCCATAAAATAGACATACAGTATTCTCTCTCAGGCAAAATTATTGGGAAATATTTCCTAAGGATGGTGCTGTTAGGAGGGAGCTTTTGGGAGATTGATGTGTCTTACATGAGGTGCTGACCTGGAAAATTCCTTATTTTTATGCCAACCCTTTGGCTCCACCTCAGGGCTCTGCAGACCTCCTGACTATCTATGAAAGTGATTTCTCCCTCTATGGAAGAAGACTATGGAGGAAACAAACAAAATACATAATGTGAGGTGTAACTTCAGGACAAAGTAATAGTTTTTTCAAGATTGTGTATGAATTAGAACTTAAGAACGGGGGGAGGGGGGGGTTGAAAAGTGCCATTCTCATATACTCCAGGTAGAAATGACCATGCAAGACTTTCATAGAATGTACATTAGGTTACATGTAGCTGTCTAGGCCTTTAGATTATCTGATATTCTAGGACTTTTGGCCCACCAGTCCTTGGCACATTATACCCATTGGGTTTACTGAAGATAAATTATTCTTTTATTTATTCAGTGACTACTTTAAATAGTAGTGTCTCTATCATTCTCTATGTGTATAGAGTTACTCAATCTGGAGTACCTAAAAGAGCTGGCAACTTCCAACCCACAGGTTCTATCCTTATTCATGGGTACAACACTTTGCAGAAACAAAATTCAGTTGCCCCTATATTTTGTGTCTCCTCGATGAAGAATTGAAGTGACCCAAAGTGTCAGATCTCAGGACCCATTACTACCTCAGAGGATCATCTGTGCCCCCCAGAACTTCTCTTGCTAATGGAGTCTTGGTTTCTCAAAACTTTAGTGTCACACTTGGCACCACATGACAGCTTCCTGTCTCTTGATGAGGGCCACATATCCTTTCTGGTAATAGCTGCTGTATTGTCAAATTATCTGAAATACTCAGCCAGAATTATTATTGGTTTTATGCTAGTATTTGCTAAAAAGATAGCAAGTAATCCCTTTTCCTAAGTGAAACAATACTCATTTACTATGCAATTATTTAATGCATTAAAAATGCCCAATGTTCATTACAGAAGATTGAAATAATATCCCTGACCTCAAGAATTGTTTCAACTTCATTGTTTATCATGGAGAAATAATTAATGGGGAGCAGGGTCTTCCAGGCTCTCCAGAGAAGCAGGCAATGACATGACCATTTCTCAGGTCATTTTTGAGTGGATCACCCTTGTCTATGACCTCTCTGACCTGGGTGGAGATAAAAGCCAAGGCTGCCTGAAGGTAATGAGTCAAGTTGTTCTAATGAATAAACAAGATCAATGTAAGTGTTATACCCAATAGTCAGTTTCCTGTGAAAAGTCAGCCAGGTGCCATCTTGGGATTTGGATGAAAAGGAAATGGGGATGAACTTTCGAAAGTTGACTTGGTCTAAGGAGGAGCTTGTATTCATTTTAACTTTTGACGGGTGCCCTAGAAGAG